CCCCGAAGAGGTGCACACAGTTACTACACCCACTTTTCACTATTTATGTTATGAGTCCCATGTAATAGGGGGTGAGCCTATTGGCATATACCGGGCACATATCCAGACACCGTGCTACTACTGAGATTTTTACAGTTAGTTATCTAGGTAATACTAACCAGATATTTTAGACTTAACGTTATCCTCTTTTTTCATAACCATAATAAAATGGTTTTTATATCTGTATTTCCAGCAGTTTCTGATTCGGAAATCTAATACTAGCAATGATAATGACGCAATCCTTTCTATTTACCAATTTTCTTATTACTAACACAGTAGAAAGTTTGTTCTAAAGTAAAACCGTCTTAATATATTTAACTAAGTCAGAGATTGATTCGTATCGTGAGCGTAGTATAGAAAGTTAAATGTTACTACTCCAGTATTATGAAGAGAAATATAATACATTATTGTATGACTATCCTATAAATAGGATCTTTTGTAGAAAGTCTAAATACAGATTGCATTAAGATAGGACAGTGAAAAATAACTCTGGGAAATATAAGACATGGCATACATACCTTTATCAACGATAGCAAAATGATAAGACAGATTTTCTATTAAAGAGAAACAAATATGTAAGCTTGATGCGTCTGTATTTATCACCAAAAAATGTCGCAAGTCATAAACAAAACACCGCAGCGCATCGCTTGATAGCTCTGAATTACAAGTGACACAACCGGCTGAACAACCAGCTGATTGAATAGCAACAACAACACCCAATCGATAGTAACAAGTTGTTTTTATATTCAACGTAATCGCAAGTAAGTGGCAAGAGTCAGACCGCGTGGCGACCAGTCACGCATGCTACGTGTCACATCCACGCTACTCCATTCATGCTGCCCACGTGCACTGGGGAAACTCACACTTGTTCACACATATATAGAGCTCATATCATATTGCACTTTTATCTCTACTCAGCCTACAAATATCTAGGAACCTTAATCCATCTTAAGAACACTCTTGACAACAAACAGATAAAGATGACGTTCAACATTAATCACACCATAAAGTACCAACAAAGTAACCTCAATAGACCAAGTTAAATGACATTTAAAACACAATTAACCTTTACATCAGGCGAAAGTTGTTTCGCAATTTTCTACGGCCATCCAACGTAACTCAAAGTTTATCAGTACAAACAATCAAAGAGCAATCCTGAACGTTGTTTACAAACAGACCCAAATGACTCCATTCACGATCCCGGGCTCCCGGGGCGCCCTCCTCATATTTCCCGAGCAAGGCCCCCGGGATCGGATCGGGTAGACAAGCGTAAGATATCCCGCACTCCTGTGGATCCCGCCCTTGAACTTGTAGCCGTCACGCGCCGACAATACGGACGTTTACCTCTTTTGCCTGGCACACAATAAAGAGATTTTATTTTTCTGCTCCATTTTCACTTACGATAAAAAGGGAAAAATATTTAAAATAACTTGGAAATATTTCCGCACAAACTTCCAAGATAAGATAAGCTTATCGTAACCGACGGAAACGTGGAACATAAGCGCCGTAGCATTCACAATAACGTACGCCCATAACGCGGCGGAGAAAATTGTGTACAACGTTTTGAATGGCCAATTCCGCGAAGTAAAAATATAAAATTAAACTAGCAATAGTCTAGCTCCAGTCTAGTGGCAATAAAACCGTCGTTAAACCACGAACGTGTGAACTTTCTCTGGCGTGTTTACACCTCGGTTGTTCGTGCAAAGAACTGGTAAAGCCGGGTGCCAAGTCCGGGTGAAATATATCCGGTCGCCGGGGAATACGCGTAGACGCGCGGCAGACGGCCCTTGAACTTTACCCGTCGGCTTACCCGGTAATAGAGCGGTCGGATGTGCGTGAAACTATGCGTGAGCAGCCGTCACACGCCGCTCCAAGCTCACTGCCGCGCGTAACCTTCCACGCTGTGGGAGCTGCGTCACACACTGCTTAGTATTCTCTTTCGGTTCATTTCAAGGAGTCTTCAATGACACTCAAATGATCGTTTGCCGAGCGAATTCCTTTGAATTTATAATTGAGGACGAATATCCGATATTGTTTAGCAATTTTGTTAATTTCTGATTTGTCCTACTTTACTGCCAGTCTTCAACATTGTTTGACATTCAGCAACACTAGGTAGTAATCACTTCAGTACTTTTAAACTAATTTCTTTTAGAGTAATCCTCTGATAAGGGTAGTCATTTACACCACATAATCTACTCCCTACACAAACCAAACTGTCAAAACTCACAATACAATACCTATCTTTTTTAACGAGCCCAAAACCAAAATGGTTATTATTGATACTTAAAAGAAATCGTCTTAAGCGGGTTTTAGCTTATCTACCACTTTTACCGTCCTCCTGAGACATGGTGACAAATGTCCGGATGTGGCTTGAGACCCGGGTAACCGTTTCTTCGGTTCTCATCACCTTATCGATGACCTAGCCTAAGAATGTTCCATTTCTTATCTTTGGCCTTCACAATCTTTTCGTGAGAGAAACGGGAAAATGTTAAGAAAAAGATTTTGGGACTTGGTTTTGGAAGAATTAAACCGTCGTTAGAATTGAAATAAATTGTGAGCGGATTTCTAAATATATTTGATTTGGATGTACCCATAATAACAGCTTACGAAGATGTTAACTAACATATTACACACAGAAACGTTTAAATGCAAAAATATATGACCCTCAAACTAGTGGAAATATAAAAGTAAAGAAGCTTCATCCTTAAAATATAACACCGACTCCTGACCTTTATTATCCAATAAACATATACATCCAGAATAAACCTTATTCAATTGCTACAACAAATTGTTGAAATCAAACATTTGCTTCATAAAAATTCTGACATACATGTCAAGAAGCTGTTGTTTCTGCCAACGACACAACAAAAGCTGAATTGTCATATATAAGTGCCGATTTGACAGTGGATTTTATGATAATCTGTTTGGTAGTAACTATAAATCATGGGTCAATGGATCTGAAGGCACATAAAAATATCATTTGTTCTTAAAGAGCAGTTAGCATGGTTGGCCGAGCTAAGGAAATGATATTAAGTACAATCACCAAGACAAAAAAACATTGAATTTCGAAAATCCGAGTCCAGGCAATTTTCTAACTTAGAATATTAACATGGATGTATTTACTGGATAGTAAAAAACCATTTACACTTCTGCCTACTTCTTCAGGGACAACAGTTATGATGTTAAATCAAAACATTTGATTTCGGGGAGCCAGAAAAGTAGTACTTATTTTTTGCCGTAAAATTTTCCAACTTTTAGCAATGTTTATTGAAACCTTTATTAAATTAATAACAGTTTGAAATCCAATAGATAAAGGACCCGGACCTAGGGTAACACCAAACGGTTGTACCCGGTTCAAATCCATCTCAGCCGGGTCACTTCGCCCGCCGGTCGATAACCCCAAACCGCCTTCGGATATCGACCTTATAATTAAACTTGAAGAAAATACAAACTTACAATCCTTTGTAAAAGTATTTTTGGAAATACTTGGCTTTTAGAAGTTAAACTCGTCCTATATTTTTAATGTAAATCGGGACTTAGTAAAGTTAGTGTTACGAATCTTTTACAGAAGCCATAAACTTATAGAAATCAGCATTCCTTTACCAACATGTCCTTTTTTAAAGACGGTAGAAGACTTGAAGAGTCATTTAGCATTTGGGGAGACGCATAGGGTTGAAACCACTCTGGTGTCCACCTTTACCATCAACCAGCATCGAAGCAAAAAAATATCCAAACAAACTCAAAGAGCATTTAAAATGCCTATTTTGGCTTCAAATTGGTCGTAAAGAAACCTAACCAATAATGCCTTTACTATTAGATAGAAAGAGACATTATGTTACCATCCATAAACAATTCCATTTTCTACCCAATGATTGAGTCGGTAACTGTCTTCACCTAATACTATCAAAATTACGACATTTTCGAAACACCTTGAGCATAAAACCTTCAGATTATTCAGCCCACCTTGAGTTTGTAAACTGAAGTATAAATAGACTGCACATGAACAACGATTAGAGTTTCTAAAAACAAAATTATTACAGATTAAATTACGATATGAAAAAATGTAGTGATAAAATTACGCCTTTGATATTGGTACTTTTTAAATCTATAGTTATTGCAGTCAGGTGAAAATAAACTATGATTCATAGAGTTAAAATTTAAAATTGCATACAATGTTTTATCAGCATGGCGTCCGTTAAAGTTATCGTGTTCTATTGTCTACGATGAATGAATTGTAGAAGAATGTTTTTCACTATGACTCATTAAGCATGCGTCATTTTAATAATATTTTACTATTGCAATGAGCACTGAATTAAAATATATCTAAAAACAATCTAAAATATTTTATGATAATAAAATCTCCATGTGGTTTTCCCATGAAATTCTCATAATATCTGAGAAATACGCGCGTATGATACCGTAATAAAAACTCCTTGCACATCGTAGACAGTGTTCATCCGGTTTTTATCAGTTACCCGGGTTTACAGACATGTCCGGTCGATAACCCGCCCGTATACGGTCAAAGTTTATCAATCAGGACTTTGTTTATTTAACTTAACTACAAATTAACTATGATAGCGAGCTTTCTGTTAACTTTACTATTCAAAATGGCTGACTTATAATTGTGTTTTGTTTTCGAAAGTTGGTAAACGAATTGTGAATTTGGAACGTTGGATACTTTTTAAATATAACGTGTTCTGAAATTTGAAAGTAAAAGGTAGAATATTTTTTTAATAGTTTAAGGATAGTATTGTTTGACATCTAGGTATTTGCGATAAAATCCAATTTGCGGTTTTCGAACCAGAAAATGATTTGTCTATTAGCACTAACTACGATATGTAGTTTATTTTTAAATGCAATTACGTTTTATGCACTGTAATAACAACAGTTATAATTATTATGAAAACCTTAGATATCGTTATATAATCATGTTTAATGACATGTGTGTTTGTTGTTTACAGGTCTTACAAGACATCAAGGTAAATATATTTTATCCTTGTCTATCACTTGTTTTCTCGCTCGCACTTTCATCTCGTCTCTTTAGTTGCAATTTCTTTTTGCACGTTTTCATTTTTGTTTTCGTCTTTCTTTAACGCTTTTACTAATTTTGTAGATTTTGAAATATTTTTCTAACATTTGTAGTTCTTAGTTGTTAGAGTTCGTCTGTATGTCGTTGCTTCATTAACTGTTGTATTGTATTGTGTTGTGGTACTGTCTTGTAACTTGTCTTGAATAATGCTCAATACTGGATTATTATCTAGTACTTATTCTAGCATTTATTCATCATTTGTCATTAAAACTTGAAAGGACTTAGTGCGATTACTATTGAATTTCAGTCTACATTTCAAGTGCCACATTTTGCAGATTTCCTATTTCTTTTCAGTAAGAATGTCTCTTATACTTTGAATTTTATGCTGGCTATGTGCGAAAATATTTTAGAAATACATAGGTACTAAGACACATCACATCCGCGAAGGTTCGATACGTCGCGGCAGGGGTAGCGCAGGGAATGGGGGGACGGTCGATGGGTCAACGACCTCGGGAGGATTTCGATGCCACCCTCCCTCCTCCCACTTATTTATTTATTAAAATTTACCTACATTGTTATATAGCTAGCTTAATAAGGAAGGGAATTTAATTTTCGTCTCACAAACGAGATAATATAAAAATAAAGTAGTCAAGTTACTTTTTTGTCCATTCCCGTTTTTCTGTTACGTAAATGAGGAGTGTCGATTGGTTGGTTCCCTCTTTTGATATATATTTAATATTTTCTTCACATAAAAGTATATTTTCTAATCTCGCTTTCTTTGCAAGTTCGTGGATAGAAGAGTTGAAACATAATTATACGCATAAACTGAACAAGGCCAAGAAATTAAAAAACATCATATAACTCCATGATTTCACGGTTCTATAATGCTGTTAATTAATTAATCAGGCCATTGATAACCGTTATCAAACCAACCGAAATGCCTATTATCCTTCCGATAACTGTTGGTCGTTGGTACCGGTACGCCGGAGTACATGTAACCATTACATTACAGAAATGTAAGTGCATGGCTTGGTATATTGAACAAATTCACAACTGCACACAACGTACTGGATTCCATATTTCCACCGCATAAAGTCCTGTTTCATACAGATTTTGACAGATATTGCATCTCTCTCTACCTAAAGCCACTCTCTCCCTCACACAACAATCGCTATCCAATATTCTATTTACAAAACATTCGGCGTGCGCGACGTTGCCGTCCCGCTGTGCGCTTGCGCCGGTGACGTCACGAGCTGGAGTAACGCTGTCCTTGTCTTCGTTTCTCTTTCTAAACAGACCGTATTCCGTTTAGAACTTGTGCAAAGTTCTGTGTAAATACTAACCATATTCATGTGGCAATCTTTAAACAAATGGATGTAACAATAAGATTTTACTTCTGTTCAAAGAGTGCCTAAAACAGTAAAAAGCGGTAAGAAAAGAAAACGCCCTAATAATGTATCAAGAACAAAATATTCAGGAAAAGTATTCTAACTTCAATTATATGCCTAAAGTCTCAAGAATCGAGTAGGCTCCAGACTCCAAAAGACTAAACATAGTGCCTAGTACAACTTGAATGAGACTTGAACGACTAAACACTTATGAAAGAATGGAATTTACATCCACCACGTTTTTCCATTTATTTTCATAATTAATATTATAGGTAAAGTTAATGTTTTGATGATGTCATTGATCTATGACTAGATTCATGAATCATGGACACATTTGTTTTGACTAAGTGAAATTCCTGGTACAGTCACTCAAAATATAGTTTTCCTTTTGACGATATTTTTAGCTCAGTTAGTTGAGTTGATTCCTTGAACGATTTCTTTGAAGTTTTGGCTATTGTTTTAGAAAAGTTTTTGTTAGAAGTTAGTGAAAGTGGGTATCTTTGTAAGTAGAAGACTAACAAAATGATACAAATATAGAGCAGACCAAAATCAACATAACCTATATTGTTTATATTCTTAAATTGGCTACCAAAGTTATAAAAGAAGGTCCGAAATCAATAGATCATTTCAGTTAAATGATCCAATAAAATTTCTCTAAAACCAAAACCAAAGAATGTTTAAGTAGAGACTTAAAGAAACGCACATGAAAAACAAAATATAATCAGCAGACTGCAGACGAAAATTAATGAAAATAGTTATGCTACAGCAGCTAGACAAAATGGTATTGTATAACAGTACTTTCTACCACATTCTATTGTTATGTTATTGTGTGATAACAATAGCTGTAATGTTTATTAAATAACAAATGATCATGGCAATATTTGCTAATAATTTGCCTGGTTATTTTCATAACATCCGCTCGTGATATCCAAACATCGTGATGCCGTAATAATATTGGGTATTCGAATACGTTTTAGACAATATTCGAGCATGAAATTGATGGGTCAAATTTACAAATCTTATTTTGATTAGGTTCTCATAGGATCGTGACGGAATCTATCTTTAGTACTATGGGGTTGAATTGTGTTCATGTGTTGTAAACCATGGTCGTATGTTTCCTTAATGTTGAAACCATTGAATGGCCAAAACAACCCTGAATTGCTTTACTTTGTAGCCACAAAACAAATTCCAGTCAAAACTTTTCCATATTCAAATTGAAGTGAATTCTTCCACAAAATTACGTGTCCACTAACATTGTCGGATTAATGGACTCAATCTGCTTAATGGATCGCAAACAGTGTGATCTCCGCATCCTCAAGGAGTATTCAATTAGTGGAATAAATCCTCCGTGGTTTGACCTTGGCAGTGTCATCTATATTACCTTGATCGCATGATTTTGACCGGCTCACCTGTTTATACTTTCAAATCTTCCCAATGTTTTTTCAATTGGCTCGTAAAGATTTTGTTTCGCTTTTGTTTTGATTGACGATGCTCTCTTAACGATTGTTTTCTTATAAGGAAACCTCGTTTGTTTAACTCTCGATATTGTTTGATTTTATTTTTGTTTGAGCGTCGATTTTTGTGATTGATTTTTTTCTCTGTTTGGTGTATTATACAAACTCTCCTTTTTTGTATCTTTATTTAAAATTTTAGGTCTTATACCGTAATGGTTTCAAGAAATGAACGCCTTATTTGTTCAAGAATATAACGTACGTTCCTCGCCAGGTCTCGGCCACTTGTCGGTCAGCAAATAGCTTAGTTACGTACACAATAAAAAGACATCGGGCAACACCGGAAGTAATCAATTCCAGCCACAATAGACCCAATGTAGGAAGGTTAAGGATCAATCGGAGTACAATGCTAGTAACCTTCGGGTTCAGTTAAACGATCAGACTTACTGCGTTGTAAGGAATGGAAGTGGCTTCAGTCTTATAAAGATTTTTATTGCTTCTAAATTTGCATTTAATGGAGATAGAACTGCAGTGTCTTTAAATACCAATTGTGCAGCAGGATAATATCACCCTTTAGCAAAGACAAGATCGAACATGTTCCAATGCAAAAAAGCCTAAACTCAATCCTAAGTGATTGAAAAAATCTTAAACCTGTCCAGCCAGGCTAAAACTTTTTAACCTGATCACCTTGAATATTTTTTTCTGTTTCCTTATGTTGTAGTCTTAAAATAGACCTACACTTTTAACACGTGCAGATTACATTACGTTTGTAATATTCATTTTGCTGTAGTAAAATTAAAATTCACGGCTTAAATAGCTTAAGAAAGGTCACTGAATTTTAATATAATAAAGTTGTAGAAATAAGATACGATTTATCGCCGTCTTTAAAGGTAAAGACAGGATAAAGGTATCCTGTTCAAATTTTTGGTTGTAAACACAAATTGATTTATTAAATAGCTAATCTGCCTGGGAAGTTAAAAGAGCAGTCATTGCAAAATACTACAGGAGGAGGAGGAGCCAGGAGCTATCCTAGTCTTTATTAAAGGTAAAATCGTTGCTAGCAGTGGTGAGCCGCTCATTTAGGCGGTTCGCCACTAAACCGACGCTGAGCAAAATATGCGCAAAACCTTGAACACAGTTTACGGCGGACTGCGGCGGTATTGTTGGTCGTTTGCCGTAGCTGTGGTCGCCCGATCCACAACCAGATCGGACACCCATTCCACAACCACGTACCGGTGGTTTTGTTGAAAATATCGATAGAAAATGCACCTGTTAATTCAGTAGTTTAGTGACGATATGTTTTTAACAGATGTGTGATTCTCGGTCGGTCGTTTCACTCTAGATTTAAACGTTCATTACCTTTCAATCATCTCATAATGTATTGTTGCCTTCAAGTCATTTTCATCATCTCCCTTTTACACAGAATTAATACTTTCATCAGAACGTATTTCATCATCAAAATTGCCAATAACAATATTCATATCTTCTTCGACTATTTTTACAACACCGACGTCACTAATGAGTTCATTTACGTCTATACACATATTGACAGATAGGTCATCAGTGTTCCCTACCTTAACTATGAAACTACCAATTAAATTACTATCAACTAGTGTTATTACTCAATTAGCATTAATATACACATCTCTTAGCGTAAACAATTTACATCTGACGTCTTAATTAATAGTAAATAGAAACATGCGTTTAGATATAATTATAAACGATTTATGTTTATACAATCCAAGTAATATAGCCGTTGAATATACGCCTCTTATTAAGGTAAGGAAATAAATTAATAATGTTGTGCAATATGCTGAGAAAACATGTGCCATTCACGAACAAAACCACAGAAATATACTTGTTAGGTTATGTTTGGAACAGAGTGTAGGAGGCAGCGGTTTTCTATTATTGTCTTTTGACATAGAATTTTTGAATGAGTCAGAATATGAATCTACGTACAGAATAACCTCAATTTTATTTACTTTAATTGAATAATCCAATCTGTTTATTATACCTTCATTAGTTCTAACTTTCTGATGCTCATTTATATTTATGGTATTATCACTAACAATTTTTTGGCATCACTCCTAAACTTATGGACTTCTTCTTTC